TTTATGTCATTTTGTTGATTCTCTTGACTATAGGTCCATGTGTACAAATTCTTATTCTTCTTTAGGTGTATAACTTAAAAGATTAGAGATGAACAATATGAATTTGAAATCAGTCCTCCTTCCTCGCTAATTTATATTTTTGAAAACTTTGAAATAAAACGTCGATCTCCAAAACTCTTAAATATAAATCGTAGGTTTAAACTACTAAAGTACGGGTTTTTATGAAATACTTTCTTTTACAAACCACTAAGGAAACATATATAGATACTAAGTGAAAAACTTTAAGCTCTTTATGAACATCCTCAAGTTTAAGTTGCCTTTCTAAATCCAAGTTAAGTGTTCCAGTTTAATCTATAAGTATATAAGTTTCATGAGATATTTACATGTGATACGAAGTGATTACGAGATAATGAGGACAAGAGCACCAATGAGCCAAGATTGGCAACATGATTCAGGTAACAAATGCATTACGGATCCATGACATTACATGCTATGCATTCTACTTCCGAGCTATAATCGGAAGGTATGGGGTCTATTGCCTATATTTATACGTATGAGACACAGATGGCCACAAGTTGGCAAATATGATCTCGGCTCGCTACCGGAAGGCACCACCATTGCTAGCACTTGGTTGGGTATGATATGCATTTGCATATATATATATATATTCACGACAGACGATTATGCGAGCATACCATGCATATTTAATTTATATAAGGTTTGATGTCAGCCATGGCGGCTACTAGAGTTTCTATTTCAGGTGGTATCTTTATTCCCCTTTTTACAGTAACTATTTATTATTCTATTTTCTGCCTTACATATCAACACATTTTTATTCGTACTGACGTCCCGTTGCTGTCACGCCCCGAGCTACCCCCGAGACGCGGACACGGGACCTAAGACCACAAGTGATCCTAAGCTAACCCTGCTGGCATGATCATGAGCATACTAAAGATAATAAACTGATGCGGAAGCTAAATCATAAATAAGATGAAAAGATGGGGAATACCCATATACTATAACTGAATATATCAAATCTGAGAGTTTAATACAAAAGAA